ACAATAACAAATACTATCTGTGTGAAATTTATATTGTGATAAACAAAGAGGTTTACAACTATAACTGTGCTACTATTTCATCCTCCTCCTTCGCCACTCTCTCAATCTCAACTACTATCTCTTCACTTGAATTAGCCAGAAAAGATCTAACTCCTATATTCTAAAGTCTACAAGATACCTCTTCCAATGAAGCCTCTAATTCATCTACTTCTAACACTTCTTCCTCTAAACCATCTACAGCTTCTCTTCCCAAACACACCAATACTAATACTAGCAAACCTCACCAACTCCCACATATCCAACCACCTCTGGAATCCTCCTATTCAAGCAAAGAAAAACAAATACATAATTCTCTCTCCTCTTTCTTAAAACCACTTACTCCTATCAACATCACACACTCCTCCTCTATTCAAACTGTAACCCACTCTATGAAAATCAATACCAAAACTTTTATCATCTTGACTAGTTAACCTAGCAATACTATCTCTACTATCAACCCTTAAACCACTGCACCCAATATGGACATCGACAATAATTCACTTTAAACAACTCAAATGAACATATTCTCTACAACTGAACCTCTTCTCCAAAACCCAAAAGCTAAACCTAATAAACCTATTACCCAAACAACATACTCCACTATTATACAGCAAAACCAAACCCAAATTAATGCTAGTACCTCTTCTTTTACTAACAAACCTACTACCCAACAACTCTACGACTTCCTTAAAAAACATCTTCACAACTTCTATCCAGGTACTATTCTTAAAGCAGCATCCCAAAACAAACAACAACTTAAAGCTAGCTTCTACTATATTATTCGTTGTATGGCAGGAAAAAGACCAGAGTTTCTCATTAATTACATTCATCAAATCAACCCTAACATAAGCAAACAAGCAACTATTCCATTTAATATATTAGAAGAAACTTTTAAAAAAAATTATTGCAAAATTCACTTCTATTTTCTTTACTCAACTCAACTATCTCAAAATTTTTGCTTGACCTGCAACAATTCTATTATATAAACCTGAAAATCACCTACAATTTTGTTTTAATCTGGCACACCTACACCTCTATCTTCATGATAGATATCAAGCAATTGATTACAACAAATTTGCAAAAACACTCAACCTTCGATATAAAATATACAAACTTATACCCCAAGTTGTTAGCACCAACAAAGATGGAAAATACTTAACTATCAAATCTGATAACAAATTCAATATCCATCTACTCCTTAACCTACCTGTTACTCTTTTTCTTAAACAATTCTCTATCTCTTCACTCCAAAACTCTTTAGACCATTTTAACAAATGGTTTGATGAATTCTTCCCTATTTATAATCGCCAATTTAAAGATCCATTAAACAAAGAAACTAATAATATACTTAAATCTAAAATCTGGAGAGCCTACATTCTCCAACTTAAACAATCTCTACCTTCTCTGCTCGATACTTTCTAAAAATCTACATGCTATGAGGACCACTTAACAAAAACAGATGCCATCAACAAAATTACTGCTGAAGTAGTTAGCACCGACTATTTAGCAAGAATTATTACTTACTTTGAACAAGCCCATACAAAAGAATCCTCTTTCTGTCACCTTACACAATACTATACAAATATTGTCTACCCTGAAGCTGAAAAAATCCTTGCTGAAAAACACAATATGACTTTTGAAGTTCCCATCCAAATTGATGATTCATTATTTCTTAATGAATCTTCTTTTTATTAAATATATCTTTTACAAACTACATTAATACAGCCACCATCTCTCTAAAAGATACACCTCTTGTAGTTAGAGAGAAAAATGATGTAAGTGGGCAGGTAGTTAAGCCCATTTACTTGGAAGGTTCAAATAATGACAGCCCTCTAACGAACAACCAGGTGATCTTTGATTCTTGCGGAGCCATACAAGCTGGGCATATGGTGATCACTGCAAAAGATATCACCCTATCTACTTCAGACACCATATCATTATCCCCTTCTAAGATAGCATTTATTATACCAAACACTACTAATAACTAACTTTCTGACTTCTCTGATAAACCACCACTAGAAGACGACTACAACAGTGAAGAATATTGTACAAATCCAACATCATCATTATCACTCTCTTACTCAAGATGGTGGAAAGGCACTTATCACGAAGTTGACCCAAACACATGCTTCAACAAATTTCTTCATTATCACAGATTACAACTTCTACCTTCATACAAACTATTGGTTCATTCCTGCATATATTCAAGAAGAATATCCTGAATTCTACACAAATGACTATATCAAAATATCTTTAAAACTAACTAGTACCAATTATTTCTTTTCTAAAGCATACATATATCTTTCTTATGAAGGAATCCTACCAAATCATACAAACCACTACCTCATTGAATATCTCCGTAGCTATTATAAAATACAACTTAAATCAAACAACTCTTTCATACAAACCTCTATTAACGACTCTCTTTTTATTAATCTATCTGTACCTTTACAAATATTTAACCCCACCTTATACTTATTGAACACTACACAATACATCTCAAGAAACCTACCTACTTACAACTCTCATAATAACAACTCTCTTTCACTTTTTAATCTTTTATTATATACACATAATATTTGAGGGTTTAACAAAAATCTTAAATGGCAAGTCTGGGAAGATTATTGTCTTTCTAATAATCTTGACATTATCTGCTTAACTGAAACCAAACTCACTAGCAACAAATTTATATCAAAACCTCTTAAAACACTATACTATACCTACTTCCAATTCTGCACTGACAGCTCAAAAGCTGGAACCTCCATTATGATTCGCAATTCCTTAATCTCTTATATACATAATACTAAATCCATTTCAGGCTATGCTATCTCAATTGATCTTTTTTTTAAACATGATTTCAAATTCTGTATTATCTCTACATATCTTCCTTGTGACAACAGCTCCACTAGACTAGAAACCCAGAACACAATTATTAAATGATTAAAAATGCACATTCTCTTAATATACTCTCAATAGTATTTGGAGACTTCAATGCCTCTACTAATAATATCTACTCCTCTTCTATTAAATACAAACTTCTTCAATTTCTCACATATAACAATATATATAATCTTGCCTTGTACACTTCCTCATCTGCTCCTACATGGCATAATTCTAGATCTAGCAGTGAAATTGATTTCATCTAGGCCTATCACACAATCCTAACTTACCTTATCTGTTTTGAGACTAATGATACAGATACTAATTCACTAAGTGACCACAAAATTCTCATTTCTCACTAGTCTTTTCCATATACTCTACATGGTCAATGCAGACACAAAACATGTATACATAGAAGAATTTTTAACTACAAGACTATGAATGACACCAAATGGAAAGAATTCTCAAATCAAGTCAGCATTAATCTTAATTCTAACTATACACCTTCCTTAACTCACACTTCAGAATCTCTTGAAACCACTTGACACAAAATTCATACCAGTATAATTACAGCTGCTTTTAAACTTATTCCCAACAAAAAATTTTCTGTTTGCAATTTTCAACATACATTCTCTTCTAAAGCTACTTATCTCCACTCAACCCTTAAGAAACTTGGAAATATTATTCAACAAACTAAATATGCTTTTAAACACCAGTTACCCATTTCTTATCATCTTAATAACTCCATCTTCCTACTTAACCAATCTTCTGAATTACACATTCCTCAACTTCCAAGTTCACACCAACTTCTTACCCCTTGGTTAACTGACGCCAACTCAAAGTGGAAAAATCTTTTCCATGTCTGTAATATAGAAAATATCAAAGAAATTAGACAACAAATTTCTGAGGCTATCAACAAAAAATGCTCTAAACTTCAAACTCACCCTACTTCTATGATTAACAGTATTCTCAACTGCCACAAATATCCAGTCAAATTTAACAACATCCAATTAGATAATGACATTATTAGTGACCCTCCAACTATCAAATCTCATATCCAACAGCACTTCGAGAACTGGACTGCACCTCGACAAATTAACTCTGACATTTTTAATTCTCATTGGCCAACAGAATACAATCCTAAACCTAACATCAACTCCACATAGTACTCTAATACTCTTTCCAACTTCGCTGAGGCCAAAATTATTTTAACCATCAATCAACTCCCTAACAACAAAGCTTGTGGCCCATTAGGCATTAGCTGCGAAATGATAAAACACACTGGCTCTAACTTTATCACTACTATAACATCTTTCTTTAACCGCTATCTCCTCTCTCAAACTATACCTAAAAAATGGAAAGAAGGACACATTTTCCCTATTTCCAAAAAACCTATTTTCGACGGCAACCTATCTAATACCAGACCTATTAGTCTTATAGAATATATCAAAAAGCTATATACTAAACTTCTTACAAACTGTCTCAACCTTACTCTCTCTCAATACAACATTCTCTCACCATTTAACTTTGTTGTGCTCCCTGGCAACTCCACTTCTATACCTATTCACATTCTTAATAACGTAATAGAAGATGCAAACTGTAACTCAAACTAACTCTGGCTGTGAAAATATTGCTAAGTCATCAAGTTGATAATTAAGGTTAGATTTAGAGTAGTTTAGTGTCTATTAATAAGACTTTACAAAAATATTTAAATTGTTTATTAATTAACAGTACTTCTGTTTTTTTCTTTTCTTGTAAATTTGATTGGTAAAAATCACAAGGTAGGGTCAAAATTTTATCGTGGGTGCGCTAAACTTATCTAGATATTAGAACACTAAAATTCTTTATAAGCATTTCATTGATTTGGGCAGATAATGACATTGCAGCAACTCGTTACCGAGAAAACTTTAAAATAGTAATGTTATTTAGCCTATTGTAACGTGAAAACCTTTTTTAGACATTCCTCTTTTTGTTTTGTAACCGATTTACTGATAAACATTTTAGTAATTTATTTGATTTATTATGCATATGTACAGTACGTACATATGTACGTATATGCAAATGTGTAAAGGTTGACCAAAATGAGTTTAGAAACTTACACCGATAGCGAATTTGATGTAAAAATAATCGTTGGAAATGGACGAAATACTAAAGAATTTAAAGCACATTCAACTATTTTAAGTTCACGTTCTCTTTACTTTCAAAGAGCTTTATCCGAGCGATGGAATAACAAGAAACATGGTTTTTATGTTTTTAAAAATCCAAATATTTATCCAAATACTTTTAAGATTATTCTTGAGTAAGTATTATGCTTTCATTCAACTACATGCATATCTTTTATTAACTTTTATAGTAATTATACCTAATGATATTTTTTAAATAATTTATAAGTTACATTTATAAAGAAGAAACTAAATTACAAGCATCTGCCGAAACTTGTTTAAATTTACTGGCTGCATGTGACGAACTTGAACTTCTTGATCTTGCGGAATGTGCACAAGAGCACTTAATTAAAAAGCATTCATCCTGGTTATTTTCTAATCTTATAACATCACTTAATTTTACTTGTCAACATGATCATTTCTATAAATTATATGACCTTGTTTTAAATTTTACTTGCAAAAATCCTTATTCATTTTTTGATTCTAACCAATTCTTATCATTGGATAAATCGGCTCTGATATGTCTTTTAAAAAGAGATGATCTCGATATTGAAGAAATAGAAATTTGGAATTATTTGATTAAATGGGGTATTGCTAATTCTAAAAAGCTTTTCGATGAAAATATCTCAAGTTTGTCAGATGAAGAAGATGTTACAAGTTGGTCTGATAATCAGTTTGAATCATTAAAAGAAACAATTTCTCAATACATTCCCTTAATTCGTTACAGTCATATTCCTAAAAGTTATATTGATAAACAAATTAAACAATATCGTTTAGATCATAATACATTTATTAAATACAATACTTATGAAAGAGGATTTTCCAAATTAATAACTAATGATATTAAAATTACAATCTCAAGTTGGATTGATCAAAAAAACAGTAATTATTATACTAATATTACTGATCCTTATAAGTTTAAACTTTTATTACGTGGAAGTAGAGATGGTTTTGATATTCATACATTTCATAAATTATGTGATTTTCAAGGTCCAACTATTGTAATGCTTAGGAATAAAAGAACTGGTAAATTGATAGGTGGATATAACCCTACATATTGGGCTAAATTTGATAATTCTATTTTTAATTTTGAATTTTATGATGGATATTTCAGATTTAAAGAGATACCGTATTCTAGTAAAACTTCAAATAGTTTTATTTTTTCATTTACAGATCCATCAAATCCAATATTAAGTAGAGTGAATACAGAAAGAAATGATAATGCTATCTGGAGCGATAAATATCATGGGCCTTGTTTTGGAGCTTTAGATTTACATATGAATTTAGATCGTTGGAGTTTTACACATGCGGATTATTATTATAGAATAACCAATTCAAGGCAGTTTACTGTTGATGAATATGAAGTTTTTGCAGTTGATAATTTTAATCAAGGAATAATAAGTGTAGTGCTAAAAAAGATTCTGGAGTTTCTGGAGTTGGCAGAGTATTATTTTATCAAAATCTTAAATTTTATATTATTATTTGTTTTAAATTCTTTTTTTATAATTTTGCCTCTTATAATTTTGCCTTTATTTTTTATTTTATCTCATATTGTGCTTATAGATATATTAACAAATTCTAATACAGTCGTCCTCCTCTATAATCACTCAGTTTGTTTTACAAAATATGTGATTATAACTATAATGCGCTTATATGTGGGTATTTTTCAATAAGGTTATTATTAAATTGTTTCAAAATTTTGTGTGATTATATAGAAGTGTGATTATGTAGGAGTTAACTATAGAGGAGTACGACTGTATTTTATTTTTTTAAAAAATATTGATTATGCTATTTTATATTCTGTCTTTTTGGTTTTTGCCATTTTTACTATTTATTATTTTTTACCATTACAGTATTTATTAAACTAGGCTCCTTATTTGGTCTCTATATTTTTATAGGTTGGCGTGTAGACTCAAATTTTTCGCATAAATTTGAATTATAAAAATTAATAAATTTTATTTTTTCATGTTTAATATATTATAAAATAAAGCTTTATATATCTATTTAGCATATAAATTCTGCAATAAAGTAATTCATGATAAGAATTACTGTATGATTTTTTAATACAAAATGACGCCAACCTTAACTATCATATTAATGAATAAGTCCAATAACAAAATTTTTTACAGCAATACAAGATAGAAATTATAATTATTCAATACAGCTATTGGATCCTGTACTATGTATCACTTAAATAATATGCAAAATTTTCACAGTAACTTATGATAAAATCATAATAATTTTAGTGCAAACTATCCCAACCTAACATATACTATGATGCTGGTGTAGTGAATAAGTTTTGTATCAAGATTTTTTATAATAATTCAATACAAACTAATCATCCATGTACTGTAGTCACCTGATGGCAAGTTTTTTGTCAGTGGTAACTCGATAGAAATCACATACTATAGTTATTAGAATAGTGAGTTTGTAACAGGATTTTTACAATAACTTATAGTAGAAAACACAATAATTATAATGTAAATAAATTCAAGTATATATGTAAGAGTTGGTAAGATCTAATACAATTTAAAATAATTACTGAATCCTATCATTTTCTCAACAATCACTTTTTGACAATGTCAAAACCTTGACGATATAACCTACATTAGATTAAGGTCAGGGTAAGTTCTACCCAATTTTTGTCGGTATTTTATTTGTTGGGGAAGTGATTGTCGGGAAAGTGATAGAGAACTGAATAAGATGGGTGGTGCGAAGCGCCACCTATAACACTAGTATTTGATAAATTTAGGTTCATCTCTCTTAAAAATTCAAGATAATCAATCAATCGAACTAAATTTTGAGCTTTATAATACATCGATACTATTCAGCGCTGCAAAATTAAACGATATTGCATTTAGGAATAGAAATCAGACGATTGTGTCGAATAGTATAGATTTCTATACCGTTCTTAGGTTGGTAGCTGTGTACGCCCACACTGCTCTATGTAAAAAAAAAAAAAATTGAGAAATAGATTAGGAATAAATAGGTTTTAAATTTCCAGACATGTAAAGTAACTGCAAATATCAGGCAAACATGCGGTGGTACCATTCCATTCTTATAATTTTCTGAATGACGTAATTGGGTGATACTTGCATTCAAATAGTTAACTTTTTTGAAAGCTATTACCGCCAAGTAAAAGTTCAATTTCTTCTATATAACTATTTTACCATTGAAATGGAAGAACTTTCGATTAGTCAGAAAACAAGGCTTCGGGCTAGAAGCAGCGAGAAAAGCACAGCTGATTGTAATTTATACTTATCGTTAGACCCAAATTAATTTGAGCTAGGTTGGTGGTACATTAATTAACCACAATGATCTCTTTTATTTCAGTATGTGCAGTACGTTCATAAAATTTAGGGGAATTTACAAATAAGGGCCCTTAAGGGCCTAATTTTTAAAAAATAATACATATACCGTAAAATCTCGAAATAGTGGCATGGGCGTTATTTCAAATCTTGGCCCGAATTAAGCTTAATTCGGGCCGAAAATTGTAATTTCACCCCTGCGCGTTATTTCGAGATTTTACGGTA